ATTATATATATATATTATTTTTTATTATATATACTATTTTTTATAGCAATATAAAGTCCAACTATTTATAAATAATGAAAATTCCTGCAGTCAAATTTAGTTCACCAGAAAAATTCATACGTTTTGTAAAGTATCCACCTCGAGATATCGGTACGCCGGCATATCAAATTTTACTGGAGTAGTTTTAATATAATTTCAGTTGTAGCTTTTGGGTAGAAGGAGAAGCAATGCAAGACAACAAAATATTCAACTCTTAGATACCAAAATTTCTTTGGCTGCGGTATTTTTCTTTAGAACATTTGAAAAATATTTATTACCTAAAGCAAATACTCTTAAACTACGATATATATGATTAGGTTTTTTTTATTAAAATTCGTTCTCTTTTCTTACATTCTCTTTAGAAAAATTGGCTACAAAAATGAGATATGCGCTGTTAATACAAGTATATAAATAGCTCAGTTTTCAGATGATAAAACTGAGCAGCATTTTGTACTTCTTATAACTTATGTTAACTATGAAAATATTATTTAAGCCAGTAGATGACTCACAATAACTTTTATATTTTGAACTTTAATTACCATTTACAAGAGCTATTAATTAGAAAGTCCAACTAACTCGTTCCTTTAAACATTACTGTAGACAATTCCGCAACATAGACCTCTTCGAACATTATATAAACATAGTACTCATATATTAATACTTTGTGCAGTACTATATCAGAATCAAACAAATGAATGAATTGTATTATATTTATAAAGAAACACGAGAAGAAATTATTTCACTACTTTACTCATATTACTCATTTACTCAGTTACTCATATAACACAGCAAGTTGAAGAAATCGAAAAATAATCCTTAAAATATTTACTCTTGGATATATATGAAATCTCTCTTGTCTTTCTTAATGTGGACTTACACCTCGTTTAAAAGATAAATTTATAAGTGGCCTCCTTGGATTATAATTGTTAGATTTAAGCAATTTTTTTTTTTATATCTCAGAAACCATTGTATTGAGTCCGCTGACACAATTAATCTTTTTTTTTATTTTTTAATTACTTAAACTTATTAATACTTTAATTGCAGTTTGGTTATAACTAAAAGCATATATATACTCTCCTTCTAAAAAGTTTTAAAGTTAAGTTTTAAAATAAAACAAAGAATTTATTATTATTGTTAATAATACTCAGAACGTTTAGAATGACATTTTATTGATTTTTAATAATTGTTCTTTGAGTGAAGAAATCAACTGCGAACAGAACGAATTGCCATGTGAGTATATTTGAGGGAATAAAAATAACCATGCCAAGCAAACCAATTAACACCTTGTCCAGTTTTATCTTTTCCATACTCTCCTCGTAAATACATTCCATTCAAATGACTGTAAGTAAAGTAATTTATATATGTATAATATGTAGAGTATATATGGAAGTCAAGGATTTAGATTTATGACTTGATTTTATTCACTTAAAGTGAAATAAAGAGTTTTATTTACATATATTGTTTAACTGGCCTCCATATGTGGTACTTCTCTTATTTGATTTAAATCACAACATATTAAATAGTTCCACTTTTCTAAATGTACTTTAATTTTAAGAATGAGACTACCAATTCGTTTATGTAATTCCTTAACATTCCTCCACAGGCAAAGTTATATTTAATTGCAAATAAAGGACAGCAGTTCAATCACTGTAACATTTCGCTACTTTACCACTATCGTTCCTATCACTTTTATTATATATCCATGAACTACTAAAATGTATCGAAGCCTATTTACTAATATTAAAAATATTACCTTTGTTGGCAGGCTTTATACCACCAGGCGCCTTTATATTGATCTGCACAATTTCTCTCCCAGTCATCATTATCGCTATCACTTGTTGAAAACTTTGCACCAGCGTGAACAGTAAAAGAGTCTCCTGCATTGCCAGAATATTTACCAACCATACTTAATGAGTATTTCGTACTCTCATCATCAATAGCAAAACTACTATAATATGCAGTACGAGTTTCATTCGCAAAATCTTCTAATTGAAACCATAATTCCTGAATTCCATTATTTGTCATAGCATGTAATTTCTCTAATCCAATAAAGTATTCGCCCTCCAGATTACCGAAACCTAATTTATAATCAATCCATTTGCGAAAGAAGTTTATAGCACCATCCTGTCGCCTTTGAATAATTGTCCACCCGGGACCATTATTTGGATCTCTCAGACAGTATACGTAAAATGGCTTAAGTCCTGATTTTGGTATATAAATTTGATAGATGCCACTATTTTTATAATTTCTTAATGCTTCAGCACAATTCGTTGGTAACTGAAATGAATTCAATGAAAAACCATTTGATTTTAAGGTTGCAGTTGAAATAAAATTTACCTGTCCCGGATTATCGTTATGTGAATTGACTCCAAGAACTGCGCAAAATACCAGCAAGGTAATTATTAAGACACCAAAGTTTTTATTCGACATTTTAACAAAATGACTGCAAATGGATTCGAGTAACGAGTTTTTATATCTGGGTTTTGGGCAAATATTTTAATATTATCTTATCAATGGAGTTGTACTTTAATTAGTGAATTCAAATTAATAGCTGTTACTGGGTTAAAGACTTTTTAATTTGTTAAAAGAAATAATTACATGCACTACTTTATACTAAAAACCTGTCTTTCTTGATATAAATCAATGGCGTTGCCTATATGAGTAACTGAAAAGAATTAGGAGCGACATCCTCATCGTTAACATTGCCGACTATGAATTAAGGCATAATATACTCAACTAATCACTTCGAGTTGTTTTAAAATTTTTATACTTGCTTAAATACTCGTAGTGCTTAATGATACAGTATATGCCCATACTTCTTATATTAGGAGAATATTTTTATGTATTCCATATAGCAGTGCCAGTTAGTAACTTGTTACTTTATTTATATCTACATGTATTATATATATTATTTTTATATGTTATATATTTATATACTACATATATATGATTCTATACTGTACATATTATAAATGACAATTTATTTATTCTTAACAAATGGTTTTATAAGTATAGAACTCATCTGCTAATAGGACGAATTGCCATGTGAGTATACTTTAAGGAGTAGTAATAGTCATGCCAATCAAACCAGTTAACACCTTGTGCAAATTTATCTTTAGG